GAACTCACATGTTCCCTACTTTATCTGCTCTCTTGAGGAACAAGACAAAGGGCTGCAATGAGAGTTCCTGTGCAGAGTCACTCAGACAAAAATTTCAGTTTTTTGTAATTAGAACTATTTCAGAATACATAATTACACATTGTTTTTGTGATTAATCACTATGCTTTACTTATGTTCAATTTGTAACAATGAAAGCCCATCCTGCATACCAGATATTTACATTATGATTTATAGCAGTAGCAAAATTACAGTTATGAAGTAGCAGCAAAAGTAATTTTATGGTCGGGGTCACCACAACTTGAGAAACTGAGGGAAGTGTCGCGGCATTAGGAGGCTGGGAGCCATCGCTGGAGCCCGGCCAGGGCAGTGGTGGGCCTGCCAGGCACAAGTCAGTCGTTTGGTAGCCAGAGTCCCTTACTTGTTTCTTTTCCTCCTTCCCTTTTTTAAAGAGAAGGAACGTGAACTTTGTATTCGAGAGAGACTGGCAGAGGACAAACTGGCCCGAGCCGAGAGTCTGGTGAAGAGCTACAGCCTGCTGAAGGAGCAAAGGTTCCTGTCCCAGGCCAGTGCCTCAGGTATGTCTGTCAGCTCCACACACACTGTAGCCCGTGTGGACACAGTCTGGGATCTCAGGTGACGTCACTGAGTGGCCGTGAGAGTCTCCTGGTGTTGTTGCTGGTGTCCTGAGTGAGAGACCTGAGATGGGAGTCGCAGTTTGATCTCTGCCTCACTCACTCTATCACATGACATGGTTCAGACTTCAGCATTTAATTTTTGAAATTGAAACATTTTTAAAACTATACATTTCAAATTTTTTCTTTTTCTTTCTTTTGTTTTTTCAAGACAGAGTTTCTCTGTGTAGCTTTGGGGCCTGTCCTGGAACTTACTCTGCAAACTGGGCTGGCCTCGAACTCACAGAGATCCTCTTGCCTCTGCTTTCTGAGTGCTGGGATTAAAGGGATGCGCCACCACTGCCTGGCTGGATATTATTTATTTATTTATTTATTTTGGATATGTTATTGGAACTGTTCTCTTCATTTCCAAGCAAAAGCCCCGGTGTTTTAAAACTGCCACACTCCGGTCATCATAGAAGGTGTGGCTTAGCAGTCATGGTGGGGAAAATCTGTAACCCTAGCACTTGGAAGACTTGGAGAATCACTGGGGGTTTGAGACCAACCTGTTCTGCATAGTGAGAGGAAGGGGGAGGGGCCAGAGAGAGGGCTCCTGAGGTAAGAGCGCGCATGCTGCCTGTCCTAGTCTCTCTCTGCTGTGAGAGACACCATTCCCAGACAGCGTAGCCGGGGCTGACTTCAGCAGCTCAGTCCATCATTGTCATAGCGGGCACATGGCAGCAGGTGCAGCACTGGAGAAGGAGCTGAGAGCTGACATCTTCAGTCTCTGGGTCTGGCATGGACTTTTGAAACCCTAAAGCCCATGTACAGTGGCAGCTGGATTTCCTCTAGCAAGGCCACACCTCCTAATGCTTCTCCCTGACAGCTAAGCATTCAGATTTGTGAGTGTGGAGTCAGTTCTTAATCAAACCTCTACACTCGTTTCCCTGCGGACTTGAGTTTGGGTCCCAGCACCCATAGCCAGCCCACCTGCCTGGAACCCCAGCTCCGGGGGACTGAGGTCCTTTTCTGGCTTCCGCAGGTCCCGTACTCATGTGCCCGTAACCCCTCTCTCTCCCCAACACTCACACATACACATAATTTACAAAATAAAGAGAAAATAGGGCTTGGGTTTCCAGGATGACTCAGTGAGTGAAGGTGCCGGCCTAACCCGGTATCTGAATTTCATCACTAGGACCCTAGTGGTGGAAGGGGGCGCTGACTCCCAAATCTTGGCCTCTGACTTGCACACTTTTAATCCCAGCACTCAGGAGACAGAGGTGAGCAGAAAACCGAGTGCGAGGCTAGCCTGGTCTACATAGCAAGATCTAGGCTAGCCATCGCTACAGAACAAAACCCTGTCTCAAAAGAAAAAAAAGCCAGCCACAGAGTGCACTTTGGATCTTTGTTAAAACCTTTGAGTTTTTTGTTTCGTTTCTTGGAGACACAGGGTCTCACTTTATAGAACCTGCCATGGAGGCTACGCTGGCCTCTAGCTATCTACCTGTCCATGTGCAACACCACACCTGGTTAATTTCAGCAACTTTCAGAGAGCACACTGTTATCCATAAAGACAGAACAGATTTAAACCATGGTTAGGTTGATAAACTGAGGAGAAAAAATGCTGTTCTCATTCCCACTCGGATAATTACTGAAACCCTCTGGGACTGCTCTTCAGGTAAGGGTGTGTTGGAGCAAAGGTAATAGCTGGGTGAGGTGCTGGGCTCCACCTTATGGGCCACTCAGATGGGTGTGTAATGACACCAGTGTGTGTTATGGTGTTGAGAGCAAGCTACTGCAGCTCACCTCAGTGTCAGAGCAGAGGGGAGCAGATGCCAGCTCAGGCCCGGACGTTGGAGTCATGAGGCGTTCTTTTGCACAGTGGGACTGTAAAGTTAGACCAAGTGCTATCTCCCTTTGCCTTCCTTGGGACTTAGCTCACACTTGGTCTCCAGGGCTCCCTCCTCTCCCCACAAGCACCACTTCTGTGCCTTCTCCCCGCACACATGTCACTTAGATCCCCATCTGCACTGTTAATGGCCTGTCACCCCTATAGCACAGGGCCTTGGTTTGCTCACTGTGGCCCCGGTGTAAACTCAGTAAGGCTATAAGCACGTTCCTTTAAATACACCACGGGAAACCTCCCGGCCCTGAACAGCACCGTCTGTGGTTAGGGGTGTCACTGTATGTCGGTGAGGTTATCCATGCGAGCGAGAGGCACATCACTCATCCACTCCAGCTCAGCTGGCCTTGCTCACTGTGCAGTTGCTTAGAAACATTCTGGTGCCTGAGCCATTTGGATGTTGGAGGTGTGCTCTGCAAGAAAGCTTCTGTGCCGTGATGTGTTCTGTCGTAGGTTCTCAGGAACAGAGAAAACACTGATTTCCCTCACTCCCCCAGTGTATTGAACCCTAAGAGGAAAGTTGATTCGTCAGAGATCAAAGCATTTGTCCTTTATTATTTGGTGTGTTTCGGGGCATGGTGTCAGCTCACACCTGTGTAACCTGTAGACTCAGCAATGAAGGGAGCAGAGGCAGGAGCATCACAGCTTAAACAGACAAAAGAAAAAGCTGGGGCTGAAGAGACATTCAGTTAAGAGCATATACTGCTCCAGAAGAGGGCCCGAGCTCAGCTCCCAGCATCTACATCAGCTGACTCCACCACCTCTGACTCCAGCTCCAGGGGACCCAGCGCCCTCTTCTGGGTTTGAGGGCACTTGCATTCACAAGCATATATCCACACAATTTAGAAATCATAAAGCTGACTGTATTAAAATGCTTCTAACGACTGGTCCCAGGCAGCTTCACACAGGTGTCAACAAGTCTGACCTGTGTGACGGTTCTCCACTAACACAGACCCCTTTCTTTTTCTTTCTGAAGAACTTGACCTTCCATCGTCAGCAGTGAGGAAGAAGGTTCATTTCCGTGGGGAGAGCAAAGAAAATGCCACAAAGAGCGAGGATGCCGAGAGCCAGCTTGCCAAGTCCAAGTGCAAGGACCTGAAGAAGAGACTTCATGCTGCCCAGCTACGGGCCCAAGCCCTGTCGGATATAGAAAAAAACTACCAACTAAAGAGCAGGCAGATCCTGGGCATGCGCTAGGCCAGCAGGGCGCAGAGCTGGGGCGGTATCGAATGCTGCCAGCCCCCTGGAGATTGGTCCTCAGCTGCTGTAGTTTGTGTGTCTGGTTCCGAGCTTGGCATGAGCGTGGTCCTGGGATTGTCTGTGTCTCTCTCAGCAGCAGGTCTACAAGATGGACGTGCCTCCCTTTTCCTCTTAATATCCCTGTGTAGAAAACACGGGGCCTTTATACCGTGTGCCATTACTACTGGGAATATGAGATGGGACACTGTAGATTTTAGAAGATAATGTTCGGGAAGGAATATAAACCTGCAGGCCTTACTGAGCAGTTTACATGACTGAGTGGTGTGCCTGTATCTGTCAGATTTTAGATTTACACTGAAAATCTGCGCAGCAAGAACGGTGTGCCCAGCACCTGCTGTCCTCAGCCGTGATGATGTACATGGTCTGGTGTCTGAATGTCGCCAGCTGCTTAGTGGTGGTGGGTGCTTGTGACCCCTGCGGTCACTGTGGTGTCCGGTGTCCGAGGCATCAGCTGGGCTGTGACTCTTCCCTCTTAGGGTCACGCTATAGAGGTCGGGGAGGCAGGGGAGGCAGGGGAGGCAGGCCTTAAATTGAGTGTGTGATATTACAGGGAGAGACCCAGCCATTGATCCGACAGCCCAGCATTTTAATGTGATTTGTCTCATTAAATACACAGACTTCCATTTTAAAATTCTGTGTCCTTTATTTCCTGGATCTGTAAACTAGCCTGGGTGTGTAACTTGCCACGGTTGACTTTTCTAATGCTGTTTGGCACTTGGCGCTACAGAAGCAGGGCCAGGGATCTCTTGCAGCTGCGGATGCAATGCCTTTGGATCTCGGAAGCTAGGTCTTTGGTGGCAGCTTGGAATTTTAAAATGGGGAGCATCTCGTCTATTCTGTGACAGTCTGCCAGTTGGGACTAGAAACTCATTGGTGGTTTTTCGTACTTTTTCCCCCCTCTGGGCTATAATGGCATTGGTGTAGCAGTGCAGAATAGAGTTGTGTATATATAAGCATTCTAAGTGCGGGTTTAAATGTTCTGGAACTGTAGAAAACTTAATTGGATACAATTGTTTATGAATAACCAGTCATCTTATTTATAAAATTTCCAATACAGTAAAATCTATTTTGTGGAAATTTGTCATTGTGATGTTTGTGTTCTGTGTGTGTGCACATGCTGTGTGCAGGTGTCTGTGGAGGCTGGAGGGCAGCAACTGCGCTTCCCCAGTGTGGGCCTCACCAGGTTTTCAGACTTGGTGTCTTCCACATACCGGGTGGTTCCCTCTTCTCTCCACCTCCCTAGTGTAGAGACTGCAAGCACATTTTCTGTGGTGCGGGCCTAAACTTAGTTCCTCCCCAGCGAGCCCCTTTCCGCCCAGCATCGTCTCCGCAGCCCGGGCGCTTGTGTTGATTTTATCCTGCTGGTTTTCTCCCGTTTTCCCACGGTGTAACTCAGTTCCCTACGGCCATGTCTTTTGTGTTTCGTGGTCTCTGAATCGAAGAAAAGTGGGTGATGCCCAGGCAGTTCTGTTCCATTGGTAAGCTGGGGTAGAATGCACCCCATTCTACCTCTCTTCGGTCACACAGACCAGCAGTGCGGACCCGAGCAAGTCTGCTCTCTAGGGAACACCGGGTCATGTGTAGACACTTGTCTGAAAGTCGTACTGAGGAGAGGGTGCTAGTGTCCCATCGCTAGGCCGGTGATGCTGCTGACTGAGCAGGAAGCTGGGATGGGCTGGGATGCACCGCCACCCTCACAGAGGACTTAATTTGGGTTTTGATGAGTCTGTTTAGTGACATTGTGTGTGTGCATGGGTGCGTGTGTGTTTGCATGGGTGCCTGTGTGTAGACACGAAGTTGATGTTGGGTGTCTTTCTCGATTTCCACTTTATTCAGGGAGAGTCCTCCCCGAGCCCAGAGCTCACTAGTCCAGCTGCCACAGTGAGTCAGCCTGCCACAGTGACCCCATCCAGCTCCCTGCTGTGATTATGAGCAGCTGCCACACGGTTCTGAGGATCTCAACTCTGGCCCTCGAGCTTATGCAGGAAGCATCTCATGCACAAGCCCTCTCCTGGTCAGGAGTTTTTCCTTGAGCATGAAGCAGTTAACTTTCCTCTGCCCATCATATTTTTATGTAACATTCGCCTGGTGTTGCTGTCTGTGTGAGTCTCAGAAGAAAGAACTTCAGGTGTACAGACGTAGCACACAGGTAGTGAGTGCAGCTTTCACACAAATGGCACCGCTGGCCAGACACAGAGATTAATCCCACACGCCCTCCAGAGTTGTGTCGAGTCTCACTCCCTGCCATCACTGTCGGAGGGCAAGTGCACTTTTCTCTACAGTTTCCCCGATTAATGTGTTACTTGCTATTGAGTGTTCTAAGAAACACTGGGAAATTATTAACACGAGTTTTATGGTTTGTCTTCTCTGTGCAATGCCAGTTTTAGGTGGAAATGCCAGAGCTTCTAGCCTGTGCGTGTGGACTGCACAGCTCACCTGTGGCTCACACCTAGAGAGCCTCAAGCCAAGCAGAAGGGACTGTGCTCAGCCTTCAGCAGGTGCCCAGCACCTGTGCCCTGTTCTTGCTCCCCTCCCTAGCCCTGAGTAACGCAATGCCAGGTCTCAAGCCTAGCGAGGCACCCTGCTTTCCATAGGCCCGCTGCTCCAGCCAAGGCATACTTACCTCTCCTAGATGCACCTCTCCTATTCGGGATGCCCCTTGCCAAGACTCCCACCCACCAGCAGGTCTCACCAGACAAGGAGCAGAGGGCAGAGCTAGTGGTCCATGGACTGGGACACACGCTGTTCTGAGATGTCCAATACTGGCCCCTCACACCTGTGCCCATGTCCCTGCTGAGAGGGGTGGGCAGAGGGAGCTCTGGAAGCTCTAAGCAGCAGGGGAAATAGCAGGAAGGAGGGCTGTGTGAGAGGCTGCAGGCTCTCCCCATCCCTACATGTTCCCATGGCCATTTGGTTTTCTGACAGAACAAAAATTCAAAGAACTATTTAGAAGTCACAGACTGTGACCATAGGCGCAAGACCTTCCACGCTACTCAGTCACCCATAAAATCAGCCTTTGGGGGCTCAAAAGATTGCCCGGAGGTTAATAGCACTGACCTTATAAAGGACTCAGGTTCAATTCCCAGCACCAACATGGCCACACACAACTGTATGTAACTCCAGCTCCAGGGGGGATCCAACACCTTCACACAGACATATATCTAGGCAAAACACCAAGGCACATAAAATTAAATAAATAAATCATAAAATAAGACAGACCTTTCCTACTTCCTTTTGAAGTCTGGAGTCAGCTAGATGTGGTTGTCTCAGACTCCACCTTCCTCTCATTAATCCAGTCAATGGACCCACCATCAGCTGGTGCCTTTTGAAACGCTGACATTAACCCTTTAACCGTCGGAGAGCCCTTGATCTTGCACAGCCAACTTTTGCGTCCTGCCCCCGAAGAGCCGACACAAGCCGGCTTCCCGCCCACCGGGAAAGCAGGCATTTGGACCGCGTGTCGGACCAGAGGGCTCTTTGTTGGGGCTGCTCCAAGCGGCCTTGCTCCAGCACCTCTGTGACTTAGGGCTTAAACAGGTTCACCCAAGTGCCGCAGCGGCCTCACGGCAATGGCAGAGAACGGCCGCACGGGGGCGCCGGGGCGCCGCGAGCCGGGCACGGGGAGGCGTCAAAGGCGTCAAGAGGGGCAGCATTTTATTACAGAGCAACCCAGGCACAGCTGGCTTGTGCCCTGCTCGCTCGCCTCCCAGGACAGCCGCAGGTGCCCTTCTGTTCCCCACAGTGGGTGCTGAAACTAAAACAGCTTTCGCTTCAAAAGCTGGGGACGAGAGATGTTTATTCTGGAGCCATTCTGGAGTGACTGACCGTGGCCCAGGAACCCCAAACACCATGTTCCATGGAGTTTTTATAGTAACAGAACAAAGAAAGTCATAAATGCACACTCCTTTCTACTAGGTGGGAACACCTGCTGGGCGGGTGTGGCAGGGGAACCTCAGATGCCGCCTGTTGAGGGTCTAAGCATTGGGGTGGAAGGAGAGATTTGTTCACGATAGTCCCCGCACGCAGAAATGGGCAACACGTACGTGGCTGTGTATGGGGCTAAAGTGCCCCAAGATCTGGATCTGGACCCGAAACATTCCAGCTCTCCACAACCCCTGAAGTGGGACTTCTTCCCAGAACCTAAGGTAGGATGAGGTGAACACCCAACCCTGAGCGTGGCCCCAAACCTGTAGTTACAGCACTACGGAGGCTGAGGCAGGATAATAAGGGTTTGAGGCTACCTGCCTCAAACACAGTTTGAAGTCAGCCTGGGTTACATAAAAGACTATCTCAAAAATCCCTTTCAAAATAAGCACAACAGCAAACCCCCAACCCAAGCCAACTGTGGTTAAGGAAGGTAGATCAGAGTGGTATGATGGGGCCTGGTAGACCTGCTGCTAAACGAGTTGGTTGGGCAGGTTGGCGTGGGGTAGAGGCTCGGTGCTGGCTTTAAAGCAAGCCCCTGGGACACGGTGGGTCTAGAATGGTCTTTCTCCCCTCCTACTCCCCGCCATGTGGAGTTCCGCTCCCTCAAAAGCCCAGGTCAGATGCCTAAGACACTCAAGCTGCCCGGTATCCTCACGGGGCCACGTCACTCGGGCCTCCTTCCCAGTTCTCGCGGGACCAGAAGCTAGGCTCCCAACTGGAATGGGAGCCAACACAGTAGCCGTTTTAAAAAGAATGACGAAAATGTATGATGTACCAGGAATGCTCAGGACCCGCATTGTTGGGTGGTTTTCCCAGAAAGATGTTGAAACCAGTCCTCATCCCGGGAGGACTTGCCAGTTGATGGCGTGCTGATGAGACCTCCCCCGCCCACACCTTCTCCTCTTTCCCTTTCCCCGTACGGCCAGGGTTCCCACCTCCCCACAGAGCAGGCGGGCAGAGCCACAGGCATCTGTGGGAAAGCTCAGGCCAGGTACAAATCTGACCCTCTGCTGCCTCCCAACAGTGATGGTCTCCGGCCTGAAGACGTCAGAAGGTGGAGTCAGTCAGCAGCTACCCTGGGCTGGATCCTGTTACCTCCCAGCCTCAGTTCCTCCCTGGACAGCAGAACACTAGTACTGGGAAGGCCAAGTGTGTTTAAGGACCTGGAACAGTTCCTGACAAAAATGTGTGTTACTTGACTGTGGGAAGGATTCACAGGGCTTGGGTCATAATAAAATGCAAATATTTAAATTAAGTTGGGGGAAAGCGGCCTAGGTGAAACCAGGAATGAGTCCAACCTGATAATTGCAGTAATTATACTGGGAGCCAACCCTTTGAGGGAGCAGACCACTCGCTGAGGTGGGAGAGACAGTGTTGAGGTGTGGCAGAAGCCCTTGCTGTATCTCGGGCGTCAGTGGGCCGGGAGGTACTACCTGGACATCTTGTTAAAATGCAGACTTAATTCATCATATCCAGGTGGGCCAGATAACCTGTTGTAACCAGCTCCCGGGCTGGAATTGACTGTGAAGGCAGAACTCAGAGTCCCCCAGGCTCCGAGAGCCCTGTGAAGCGGATGGGTTCCGCGAGGGACGGAGTGGCGCCCTTGTGATGGCTGCCGTCCCTGCCTGAGGCTGCTGTCCCAGAACTGGGGACGGGCTGGTAAACCCGGAAGAAAGGCAGAGTTGGAAGGCCTTTCCTGCGAGGCAGTGAAGTGCTAAGTGTAGGAGGTGGAGAGAGCTTGGTTTGACATCCTCAAAACCTTTGGCGTCACGTGGTGGAGAAGAGACTAGAGGAGCCCCCCCCCCCCTCCCTCGCTCTCTGCATCTGCCTTGTAGGGCTTTCTCGGGCAAATCTACCAGAGTAGGAGAGGGCCATACTCGTCCAGGGGCCCAGTGAACCCAACCATGTTTCCAGGATCAGAGGAAGTGGCTAATGGGTTGTCTACACTCAACCTGGATGTTCCCAGATGTTCCCAGATTGTCCAGAGACAGTCTGGTCTAGCCCGGCTCATGGGCAGACTAGGCCCAGGGCGTGGAGCTGTACCAGAGCCAGTCAGGGGCAATGGTCCTCTATGGTCACTCTCCTAAAGAGACCTACTAGGGGGACCTCGAAGGGGAAAAATGGTTCATTAAAGTTGAACTTTGGAGTTC